AAAAATAATTCCTTGATCATCAAAATATTTCTTGAGACAATTAAATTCAGTACCGTTATCACTTCGCACACGACGAATGATTTTAGAAAATTGACACTTGACTAATGCAATAAATGACATGAAACGAGAGTACACTTCCTTTTTATCCACCAAAAGATATATCCACATAGCACGAGAAAAATCATCTACAATTGTAAGGAAACTTTTGGCACCACACGTTGACACAGTCTGATAAGGACCCCACACATCAACATGAATTAAATCAAAAATTCCAGCAGATTTATTATTACTTAAAGGAAATGCATCTCGAGTTTGTTTAGCACGGAAACAAATATCACAAGGAACACTAACACTACTGTTGACAGGAGCAAACAACTTAGTTATGTTTTCTGAGGGATGTCCCAGTCTTCTATGCCAAAGTTCCCCCGCAGTTGCCACACCATTAACCACCACACACTGTTTAGTACTTTGTTTGAAATAATACAAACCATCCCATCGTTCACCCGTTCCAATCAGCTTCCTCGAGGGTTGGTCCTGAATAACACAAATATTAGTGATAAATTGAACACTACAATTCAAATCATCCGTCAATTGAGATATGGATATCAAATTGCAACGCAATTGCGGAACATATAAAACATTTTTCAATGAAATAAAATTGGACAACACGACTGTTCCTTCCTTTGTGGCATTCACAATCTGTCCGTTTGGCAAATTAACTGGACAATTGTCTACCTCACTTATATCAACTAAACAATCCATGCTTCCAGTAACATGGTTTGTAGCCCCGGTGTCAAGAATCCACAAAGAAGGATGAAACTTACCAATCATTCGTTCAGAGGAGGATGAATTGTTACCAAAAGCTGCAGTGAGAGCTTTCCACTGTTCGGCGGTAAACCCAGGCAGAGAAGTGGTGGGAACAACATTAACTTGTTGCGGTTCGTTTCAGGCTGAAGTGGGGTACTCACAAGCTGCTGCCGCATGAGCTTTAACACCTCCCGTCCCTCGCCCAGCTCCTGGTTTACCTCGTCCTGCTCCCTTAGCGCTACCCCGTGGCCGGTCTCCCCACCAGTCAGGGTAACCGATCAACTGAAAGCATCCGGTTATTTCATGTCCTGGGAAATTGCAATGTGTGCATATTATCCCCGACTTATCCCCTTTGACTGATTTAGTAGTTCTAGTTCGTTCAGTTTTTGCAGCAAACCCCATGACATCGGGTCGTTCCTCTTTCTTCTGAGCAGGTCCTCGCATTCTTTCCTCCTGGGTGATTTGATGATATGCCCTATTCAAGCTAGGCAAAGGAACCTGAGATAATAAATTGGAGCGTATTTGTCCATACAATTCTGGCGACAACCCCATCAAAAACTGATGGAATCGTTCCGATTCTCGACGTTGTGCGTGCAATTCTCCAAGTTTACACGTACACTTGCCGCATGTACAACTCAGTAATGGTTCGAATTTGTTCAATTCATCCCACCACATCTTTAATTGGCCGTAATACTTTTCGACCGTCAAAGAATTGCTTTGTTCACACCTTGCTATATTCACCTTTAATTGATGAATACGCGGCCCGTCTACCACTGAGAAACGTTCTTTTAGATCGTCCCATAGTAGCTTTGCATCATCATACATTGAGAGAGTATTCTTCACATCGGGTGCTATGGTGTTCATCAACCATGAGACAAGCATCGAGTGATTCGTCTCCCAATCATCCTCCGTACACTGGTTCTCATAAGTCTTGAGTGTGCCATCCAAGAAGACAAATTTTCGTCGTGCTCGCAACGCCAATCGGATAGACCCTGCCCATTCGTCATAGTTTTCTCCATGAAGCCGAACGGGAGTAATGTAATCCCCCGGTCGATCTTGTGGTCCAAGATAAAACGGTGAGTTGTGATCAATCTTCACCTTATTAATATTGGTGTCCTGTTCATCTTCCTTAGCCATGGATATGAGTGCAGCGATAAATTAACGCTCACCCGAGCGATTTCTCTGATACCATAAAAGCGTAGAAGCTAGATACGAAAAATATGTGTATTATTATTCTTCAGCACACCGGCTGGGATTAAATAAGCTGATGCCAAAATAAGAGTCCTAAGCCAATTACACAATTGATCAAATAAGTCCTGGCAGGACTCTCCCAACCTACCTACGTATTTAATACGTAAATGATTAAAATAATAATAATAATAATAATGCTAACTAATAAAAGATATTATTGTCTAACACTGTGTTGATATAATTAATGGACCGGATTGGTTAAAGATGACTACAGTTTGATAGCAAAATTTTGGAGCTCCTAAAGTAAACATACAATACTAAGGATTGTGTATATATATGTGTATGTCGTCCAAATGGGAGATTTTTAGATTATTGGACTTATACTACATATAATATTCACAATATATTATTTATTTGGTTTAATTGTATGTTATATGCTATCTTAATTTAGGCCAAAAAATTAGTGGTCTTATGGATATTAATTTAAGTAGGCTAATAAGTTATCTAATAAAGTATAGGGACCAGATGTGTAGAAACCCATGAGCTTAACCTAATTAATGATGGGCTGATTAGGGTTAAGCATTCTCTATAAATAGAGGGGTTATGGTCCCTAGTTGAACAAGTCATTCCGTCTTTCTGCATCCCATCGCTAGAGAGATAACTCCCGAGGGTGTGTATCAACTAGAAGACGCAAACCCTAGCCTCCGTCTCCCGGATCTCCAAAGATCATCTCCTATGGAGTCAGGTACGCTTCCGCTCAGTTAATTCTCTAGATAATTCGAATATGAAGATTAAAGTATTATCGGATTTATTCCAACAGAAATTTCCAAACAACATTCATAGGAATAAGAAGTGGCTAGAATAAAAAATTCTAGATTAAGTTGACCTTTTAAGGCATACAATGTCAAATTACATGATCTTTATATTTAACAATACTAGGTTTGTTCACATAAACTAGGTTTCTTACTTTTATTCAAATGTATAATGTATAATTACATTCTGTCAATCTATTGCTAGTAGTTTTGCTCAAGTGCTTGCACACGTTTTACCTTTTTTTTTTATATTCATCAGTATGAACTATGTAATCAGGCAATCTGGATGAAATCATGCAATAGGAGATGAATTTATGCTTACTGAATGTGATCCTATCCATGCAAATTCCCCAACATTACCAATAAAAAGTAAAATACAAATAATATTTATGGCATTCAATCTAATATTGCAAGAAATCGAAGAAATTATGGGGCACTAGCACGAGCAGAACTGGTTGAGAAGTCTACTTGAAAGAGAGTAAAACAACCTGAAATCCCAGGAGCTGACCCAAAGAAAGTTTCTTTCCTTTTACTGAGTAGTTATCTTGGATCAAATCTTCTGCTCCTCATAAAAATCCCAAGTCTACGTTTTTTTGTGTTTGAGCCTTGCGCTTCCCAGCAGGCTGAGTCGAGTAACAGGAGGCTGCGTTTAACGCTTGAGTCGAATAACAAGGGGGCTGCGTTTAAACGATCATTAGGTCGGTAAGGGTAAATTAGATAATTGATTTATTTTAATTATTCTTATTTAATTTAGTGGTTGTGTTTAGTAAAAAGGGGCTGTATATAGAATTGCCCTTTCCTTGATATTGGAAGCAGCCCCAAGCAGATTTATTTAAAAAGGGTAATTCTATTTACACTCACCATTTTACTAAATACAGCCACATATTTTCAGTCTTCCTGTTATGTCCTTACTAATATGCAACTTAATGCTAGCACTGCCGCAGCTTCTTAACCGTTCTCTCCCTTAACCCTTCTCACTGGATGAAATTCTCAAGCTAAATTCTAGTTGTAATGAGTTGATTTTGCCAATGAATATATACACTTCGTATGTCTTCCTTGACCACCGAAATATACTCTGCCAATGAAGCTTCATAAATTAGCATCCTATCTTCTCAACCACAAAAATTAATGGCTTCTTTTCTTCGTTCCCTCGCAGCTATCTTCTTCTTTGCGATGTGCTCATGGCCGCCGAGATGAGAAGCAGGTGAAAATTTGTGGCCGAAGGCAGGATGTGTGAGACCGGAAGCACCAACTCAAAGGGCGCATGTATTGGTGACAATAACTACAAGACGGTGTGCCGAGGGAGAGATTCACCGCCACTGCAAATTACTCCATGCCACTGCAAAAAGTCTTGCTAGATTATTAATAACTAAGTTTAATTATTAATTTGGTTTTATGAATTATTATTATCTTTCAATTAAAAAAAAGTCTGCCAAGAAAATCTTGAGCAAGAGAAAGATGAACAAGCCCTATGCATCAATGCGAAGATGAAGGGAGAAGGTGGAAGTGAAAGAATCGATGGCTCCGAGAGGGGGTGATGAAGCCTGCGTGCAGCTGGAGTGAAGTTAAGGGCACCAAGTTGAGAATCGGTAATCGACTGATCATCGGCTCATCTAAGGGCCACCGGTTGACATCTATAAAAAAGGACATAATTGGAAGAATGAAAAATAAGTGGGTGTATTTAGGGTATGTTTGGCAAATGGCTTATCAGCCAGCTTTTAGCTTGTTTGACCCATTTCAGCTGTTTGGTTGGTCAAAGAAGCTAATAATGATGTTTGGTAAATGGCTTTTAAAATTAGCTTGTTGAGTTTGAAAAGCTGAAAAAATGGATTGTTGAAGAAGCTAAGGGGAGCAGCTTCTTCATTTGGCTGGTTCAATTTACACTCTATCAGCCATTTTGAAACAACCAATTTTACCAAACAGTTATCTATAACCAGCTAACATAACCAGCCGGTCAAAACAGCTAACACAACCAGCTGTTAGGAAACAGCTGACACAACCAGCTAACAACAACAGCTAACAGCCATTTGCCAAACATGCCCTTAGCAAAAGTGTGGCTGTGAATAGAATCACCCATTTAAAAAAACTGAGTAGCCTGGTTTGTTTTAGATAAGCCCTAGCCCATAATAATGTATGCCCATAATTTGAGGTTTAATGGGCATACGATATGTACATTGTTTACCAAACCAGACAAGAAGCTTCAGAATAGAGATTGAACAGATCAAGGGCGCTGAAGATGCTAATCATGGGTATGCGTCCGATTCATTTCGATTTAGGGTTGGAGGATGAGGCTTTAGAGGAGACGGTAGAGGAGGAGGAGAGTTCTGAGGAGGACAATGGTTCACCACTTCCGAAGAGGGCTAAGACAGAAGACGAGGAAAGCGATAGCGATGGTTTTAATGGGCCGACCCCGACGAAAGAGCAAATGGATAAATATTATGCTTACCAGAATCACGTTCAAAAGTATCATGTAAGTATTACATATATCCAAATCATTGTTTGAAATTGCGAAATAGAATCGTATACACGATACAAATTACAAAATAAGATACATATACACACACACATAATTTCGAACATTGTTCCACAGTTTTATTCTTAGAATTTGATGCCGGATTGTTTGTTGAATCAATCATAGGGTTTTCATGTGGACATGAGTTTATGGCCGGAGGGCGTTGCTATCATTGGTGGGATTGAGGCTATGGACATTGAGAATGATGCAACCCTCAAAGCTGATGTTCATGAGGCAGCTCGTCGTGCAATAAAGATGCACAAAACCCAGAACCCCAAGGTTATATGTTCTTTTCACATGTTATTATTAGTTACCAAATACCGATTGAGACTACAATTGATGCCTTTTCCAATTTATGCATTGCAGAGTCCGGAGCTGGAACTGGTACGGGTTATTCGAGCCAACACAAATTGCTATGTTCTTTTCATAACCATGGTGGTTAGAGACGTGGATTCGGGAAAAGAGGCAAATTATCAAGCAGCCGCCAACTACGCGGCAAGAAAAGACGGATCCGAGATTTTCCGATTCTTCTTCTTAAGGCCAGAACCGAAACACCATAGAGTGGAAGAGGGGGTTAGTACTTTCTAAATGAATTTCACTAAATAATTTCATGCTTTGTTTATGTAAAGTTGATGGCCCAATTACACTTTCAGATGTTGTGCTTTAATGCAAAAATAATTCTTTATTTTATTATGACACTTCGCACCAATTTTAATAAGATGCAAATATGTGATTATATATATTTACTTGGAATGGAAACAGATCATACGAACATTTTATTTAAAAGAATTTGATAAGTGGTAAAAGCAGTTGTAATTTGAAAATAAAAAAATTGAATAAACTGTGTACAGATTAGGGTCCAAGCAAAAGTAAAAGCACAGAGAAATATGCAAGTTATGTGCAATAGTTGTTCCACGGTCCTTTTGAATATGATGAGGAGCCGTTTGTAAATTGTAAACTCAGCACTTGAATTTGATAGTATTTGTTTGCGTTAACAATATTCACTTTTGATGTGTCTTTTGATGTGTGTTTTGGTCTGCCTAATAAGAGTGTGTTGCAACCGTTCTATACTTGCAAGTTTTGAGGAGCTCGACTCTCTAACTTCTAGTTTAAGTTGAAAGTTATTGAAAGAGTAGAGAGGAAATATTAAGCTATTTATTGGATGTAAGTTTATCAACCCTTTACGATAAACTATATTTTTCATTTGTGCGTTGCACAAGGTACAGTTTCAAGCATTAAATTAAGTTATTCAAAGCAATAAAGAAATGTTATGATAAAGATAGAAACTAGATAGTATGAGTTTTAATCGTTGGAAAATGTTATCCCAGTCTACTACTACTTGAAAGCCTAACACATTGTCCTAGTACGAAGCTCGATTAGTGAGCTCCATTTCGGTCTATTTGGCCCTTTCGGTCAATTAGGGTAGCTTTTGCATCCCTCTCCTTTTTCCCTCCATATTGATGGAGCTTTCTCTTCTTCTCCGCTATCCTTCTCTCTAGATAGCTCCACCTCCATTAGTGGCTTCTAAAGCTTGATACTTGTACAATGCAAAAAGAGAGTGACTTAGACATTAGTTCGAAAAGTTATGTGATTTTCTCTCTTTCAGATTTCCACCTTAAAGTAGAGTGTTCATACATGTTCATACATTTTCATACATTTTTTTTACTATTTCGTGTTGAATCAGTTTCAAGAATGATAAAGTCGCTTATAAACAACACTTAAGCCATCTTGATTAGTTTATATTAGGAGTATAAACACTATCAAATTTGAATGATTTTTGTATTTTCGTTTTTAAAAAGAAAAACATATATATGGTGAGCTCTTCGATTTTTATTTATTTATTATTAATCATTGATAGACAAATACTTCCTTTTATTAGTAGGGTTATCCCATACATCCAATTATAGAAGTAACATAAATTAAGGAAAAAGGTTTACATGGAATTTTCTATTATTTCTACTTTATTAAACTAAATCCATATACTACAAAAGTAATATGTAGTATACTAGTATATGAATACGTTTACTTTACGAACTCGATCAATCCAGCCTTATAATACGTAGTAAATTTCAACTCTTACAAAGTTACAAAGACATTACTCAAAAGACTATGGTGTATCTAGGAGTGGGCAAAAATACAGAAATATCAGTATACTGCATTTACCGTACCGAAAAATGCCGGAAAATAACGAAATATTGGTATACCGTCATTTTCGGTACAATATCATACCGTACCGATCTATTTTGGTACGGTAACGGTAAATGTTTTCAAATACCACGATATATTACCGGTATAATACCGTACCGACTCCCTACTCAACAATTACTTTTAATTCTAATATATTGTAGAAATCCATTACAATTTTGAAGCCCAAAATTAATACTCGTATTTAAGTTGGTTACAAATACAAAAATACAAAAATAAAGGCCCAATTTCTCAAACCCACTATAACCTTATAGGCTTCTACTATGCTAACCTTAATGACTAATGAGTAATGTACAAATGTTAAGAAACAAGTCCATCTTGTTCCAAGAGCTTGCAAATCATGATGGATGGGCCGCTAAGTAGCTGACGAGTGAAGAGAGATACACTTATGTGAAAAGTGTATCTACATAGGGATTCGCGAGTTGAGACACACAACTTTGTCCGAAAGTCTTATTCAATTTTTAAAAAATTATAAAAATGACTAAATACACAATATTATATTAGGAATAAATGATTTTATATCCATGTTGTTTGAATAGTTTTATTTATTTTTGTTAGAGATCACTATTGATTTAATTATATCTACTAGATTCTTTACCCGTGCGTTGCACGGGAGGATTAATTTATATTTTTAACTACATATGTCATAAGATGATGGTGGAAACCTAATAAATAGTTCGAGCAACTCGGTTTAAATCTTTTGAAAATTTGTTATAAATTCTTGAGAGCACATGGTTGTTCTGGTGAAATTGGATTCACCTTCAACTAATAATAAAAAACATTTGATATGTGACTTAAGAGCCAAAAATGGAAATTGTCATGCGTAACAATGAAAAATTAATTACAACATTAATATGAAATTGAATACATAATTAAACAACGCATTAATTGCTTGACCATTACTCTTCCTGGCTGGCAGGTCAGTCTGGCTAGCTGGCCTGACGCTTGACCTCCCTCTCTGTCAGGCTAGCAAGCAGGCTCTCAGCTGGGATGGTTGGCAACCTCCTAGTTAGGCTGAAGGCACACTCCCGATTGGGCTGGAAGGCATGTTAGCTCACTGTTGGGTTGGAAGGCTCCTGCTGGGCCGGGAGACAGGCTTCCCGATGTGTCGAGAGGCAGGCTCCCCGTTGGGCCGGGGGAAGGCTCCCTGATGGGCCGGGAGGCAGGCTCTCTGCTGGACCAGGAGGCAGGCTCCCCGCTGGACCGGGAGGCAGAGTTCCCATTGGACGGGAAGGAAGGCCTCTCGTTGGGCGGACACACTGGTAGGCTGTCTTGGACTTCCACTCCGTTGGACCTCCTTTGTTTGATGGGCTCGATCTACAGGGTTAACTTGAGATCTTGGTTCTTGACCCACTGAGGGAGCTGGCCTGGTTAGATAATGGTCTTGGGTTGTGGGCCTAGACTCACAAGTCCAAGTTTGAGCCTGGGCCGATTAGGCACTTGGCTTAATCCCATAAATTCATCATTAACTTATGTTCAATTTCTATTCTTAAAGTAGTAAGTTACCATAATACTACATTCATAATAACTTTAATACGTCATTCTTTTTGTAAATAAATTTTAATTCAGTAATATTTTTAAAAATGCCTTGTCTACTCAAGTGAATAAAAAGTGAAAATTTCAAATATCTCTAAGTTGAAATCTCATCAATTATAAATATTATTATTACTATTATAACTATTATAAATATATTATTGTTATTGCAAAGTAGATCGGACCGTGCATTGTTTTAGACAATAATGGAGAGTGTTATTTTAACATCCAAAAGTGAGTATTTTTTTACCGCAAATTACAAAGTGATATCATAACACCGTGCACTCGTTATACTGATCTCACTATTAAGTATTTGCACTTTCTCTTTTTCTTTCTTGTAGTCTATCATTTTTCTTTTCATTGACTTCGTCTTCTTCATTTATCTTTTCTTCAATTCCTTTCTTCTTCTCCATCAAAATACAAAATTTAATTGCAATTTTACTTTTCTTTATCTTGAACATAAATTGCAACTCAGTTTGTTTTTTATTCTTTGTCAATTCAAAAAAAAATTAATCTAAATAAAATAAGTATATTTCACTTCATATTCATACACTATTTTTTGTAATATTTTTTATATTCTTACACGTACTTTTGTGTGATATACTTTGTCATATTCATACATTTTTTTTCTATAATCTATAAAACAAATACATGTTTTTATTTTGTACACAATTAATCAATATATTACGATTACGTTGTGTTTATTTTGTATACTTTTTTTTAAATCTTCAACATAAATTACAACTCAATCTATTTAGAGTATTTTAATTGCGATGTACACATTTAATCAATTTACACAATTTCATGTTTTTACACTACAAAAAAACACCCGTTTAGTCACGGACCGTAGTCACGGATTTGGTCCGTGACTAGCCTAGTCACGGACTAGTCACGGAGTAGTCACGAAAATTTAAAAAAAAAAGTAGTCACGGATTTTACCGTGACTACAGCCGTGACTACACGTAGTCACGGATTTTTGACCGTGACTAACATCCTCCGATTGCCCGTTTGATTTTCCGGCCTGGCTTGTTTTACTCCGGCAACTTAGTCACGGCCACATCCGTGACTATGCCCGTGACTATAATTAAAATTTAATTTTTTTCAACTCCCTTAGTTAATTCGCAACGGTATTATGTACGGATAATTGTAGTCACGGCCATATCCGTGACTATGTCCGTGACTACTTTGATTTACACGTCATTTCCACGTCATTAACACGGATCGGACGCGTAATGGACACGGTATTGCTTAGTGACGGACAAATCCGTGACTAAGTCCGTGACTAAATTTTTTATATATGCAGGAGCAGTTCATTCAACAGAACCACACCAATTCATTCCCAGTATATACAGTATCTGTTTGAAAGATCGAAGGATGTAGTCTGTCTTCTATCATTTTCCCCATTTATGCAGTTAAGGTATGTTATTTGAATTATTATTTTTATTCAGAATTAGTTGGCTCAATTTAAATTATTAAAACTATTAAATTAGTGATCGATGTTGTTAATTAATTAACAACATCGATAAGTGTAAGCGTAGTAATGTCATAAAATTAGTTAAACTGTTAGGTTTATAAAATAATTTAATTAAAATTAGTTAGCTAAACGTAGTTTTAAACGTAGTGATCTTTATGTTAATTGAAATTAGTTAGTTAAACGTACGTTAGTAATGTGTTAATTAAGTGTATTGTGACTTGTTATTGTAATTGTGTATTATTTATTAATTGAAGTGACCTTATATACATGTTCAAATTATTGGGTTTAATTTGGTCATATTATTTAATTTAGTGAATTGGAATTGTTAATTGTGTAGTACTAATAACATTAAATGTCATTAACGTAATAATTTAGTTTAGGTTTAAATGTAGGTTTACAAAAATAATTTAATTAAAATTCGTTAGCTAAACGTAGGTTTAAACGTAGTGATGCATTAAAAGAGGACGGAATGAACTAGTTAAATT